TGCTGAACCACAAACATAGCCAACTTTTTTGTCCACCCAAAAATATCAGATTACCCAAAATTCTTTGTAAATATTCTTCAAATTAATAACTAGTCACCAAGAAATCTTAAATAGTATCTGTACTAAAAGAAAGCAATTTCTACATGGATAACATTATTTAAAGGTCTTTTATTTTCTTTGTAAATATTCTTCAAATTAATAACTAGTCACCAAGAAATCTTAAATAGTATCTGTACTAAAAGAAAGCAATTTCTACATGGATAACATTATTTAAAGGTCTTTTATTTCTAAAAAAAAAAAAAAAATTATAACTTACAGTTTATGACACATGCTTAAGTAGTTGTAAGGTACAAAATCTGAAGCCATTACCTACACTTTTGAATCTAGGTCAAGGACACACAGTTCCTGAAATACGCCCACTCCTGCAACCCCTTCAACTTGAACATTCTCTGACAAAAATACTTCCTTGTTCCAGTTACTACCAACTGCTCTGAGGAGAATGAGATAGGACATCCTTATCTACCATAAGGCCCACGTCAGGTGTCAGGAGGCAACTATCAGACATTGAAGCTAGGCATGGTTTGTTCCAATTTGCAACTCATTATCTCTCACTAAAACTATGGAAAATTGCTTTAGCTACATGATAGACTACAGATTATTCTTTGAAAAATATCTGTGGCAAATGGAAGTTATTTCAAAGTTAAGAGTCTCAGGTTAGTCTCTCACAAGACTCAATCTATCTCTGTCTTGATTTTCTCATCTGAAAAATAAGACTTTCTAAACATGCTTATGATGAGAATTAAATGAGATAATACATGTGAAAAAATTTGTAAACTGTAAGGCCCTATATATTTACGAAGTACCTGTTCCAGTAGAGAACTCATTTATATCTTTTATTTTCCCCATAGGAAAATTCAACAATGAGTTGAATATAAAAAATAATAATATAAAATATATATAATAAAATAAAACAATATGAAAAACAAAAGATGTTCTTTTGGCTTTAAAAATCTTTTTTTCTTAACTTAAAATTTATGAATATATCAAAAATATTAAAGTTGAGGACTAGGTAACAAAAACACATGTAAAGCAAGTCATTTGATGTGCAATTAATATAATTTTAAATTTCTAGAAACACCTTTCTGTTGAGTCTATCAACAGACTCAAGGGATATCAAAATTATGAAAAAACCCTCAGAACCCAAGGTCATGTCTCCTGTGCCTTGTTTACATTGGCACATATCCTGACTCAAAGAAAGGCTTAGGAATAACAAATAAAGCTTCAAGAAATTAAAGAAAATTTTGCATCGTATATTTACCCACATTTAGGTTGCCATGAACTCTACTGGAGATATGAAAGAACATAACATTTCTTAAAATAATTAATATTATATCCTGTCATTACCATGGAATCAATAGTGACTATTTAAAAAATTTCTTCCAACACCATTTCACTGAAAGCTTTATATTTCTTTAAGGTAAAATAATGGTAACTGCTGAAAGACCTCAGTTTCTGTGTTTGAACAGTTAGCTATTCACAGCTCTTTAACATTTTCAACTAAATGACAGGCCATAGACTAAAATGAATATATCTTCTGTTTGTCCTACTATATCATTAAAATATAACAGGGATAATTTTTTTAAGTTCTATATCAGCATGAGGTCAATTAATATATCAACTAATTACAAATTTTAAAAAAGAGAAAAGAGGATAAAAGTTTATTAGAAATGCAATCAGAGTTAATAGTTGGAAAAAGAGGCAACTTTTCTATCTTGCTACAGAAAGGATTATGCATAAACAGACTAAATTATGTCAAAACCATAATATACCAGCAAAATTTATAAACCTTAAACAAAGACTGCTTATAACACAAAATGAACTTTTCTGAGATTTCTAAACAGTTCCTATGTTCTTTGCAATGAGATTTCATTACTTACGCCAAAGATAGAAGCATATTTTGAGGTTTTGCAGGTTTTCTTAGTTTTGCTTTTTGGTTACATGTAAAAAAATTTCATTGAGTTACACAATGAATTACATTTATCGAGTACCCTCCCCTCTTAGGTGAAGCACAGCCTTAATGCTATGTGTTTTATTTAATTCTCTTAACAAATCTATGAGGCAATCAAATGCGAGTTAACTTACTCGAGTACACATAACTAGTTAAGTAAAAAGCCAAGATCCAATCACAGACTGATTCCAAAGCCTATGTTCTGAACCACTGCATTAAACTTCTCCATGACGAAAAAGTGAACGAAAAAGAAACAAATACATTAATTTTATTTTTCAGTTTTAAGCTCATATATCAAGTATCTATCGACGTGCATCATTCTGTTGCTTCAGCAGTTATTACTTTTTTAAAGAAGATATCACAACCTTAAAAGAAACAAAAAACAAACATCTTATAGGAAAGCTAACTTTATAACAAAGATTAAAACCAAAATTGAAAGGAACATTCCTGGAAGAATTAGTATTACAACACCTAGTAGGGTGTAAATCCATTTTTTTTTTTCAGATTAAATCATCATCTGTTAAATTACCCAGCATTAATGAAGTAAATCTTGTTCCAGAAGGACGTTTTTCCTTTGTTAATATATAGAATAAGTAAGACATTTTAAAGGTAGGTTCCCCCTCAAAAAACAAACAACTATTTCTAAAAGTTACCTTAAAACTTGTAGAAAAGCACGGTTTTAACATTGTTACCAATATTACAAGACCCTCTTTTTTAAGACTCCAGATGAAGTCTGTAATAACTGTCAGACCCTTTCCTCATTACAACATGGTGCTATTTTGCAACCACAACAAATGTTTACAGCTATAGCTAACATTTATTGGATGTTATGTGCCTGGCTCAGTGGCTTGCGCTTTACAAGCATGGCATCTTCATAACACCCTCATGAGGTAGGTACTGTCATTGTATTGATTTTATGGGTGAGAAATGTGGGACTAGGGAATCTAAATCACCCATCCAAAGGCACATATAGCAAGCAGAGCTCAGGTCTGACCCCAAAGCCAGTGCTTTTGACAACTTCTCCAAAGTGTTCTCACGGTAAAAGAATCAGTCCCCAACCACTATCACTAAATCACCTCTCTTCAACATACAAAATGTCAAGTATCCAAACAACCTTTATCTTTTATAATTAAATAGACACCAAGTTGTAAGACAGCTCTATTCACTCTCCTCGCCAACACACAAACACACACAAAGTGGCATGGGGAGGAGAATGCAAAGGCTGCACACAGCAGAATAGAGTGAGACAAGGACCGAGAGCCTATGAATGAAGCCGATTTGAACTTAAAACACAGGGACCTAAATATCTTTGCACTAAAAGAGTACAAAACCAGATAATCGAAAATGAAGTTAGCTGACAAATCACACGATACTGGTGCAGAAGAAGCTGTCACGCCAGATGTTACCTTTTACTACAGCCACATAAAAAGATGGAGAATCTACAAGTTAACTAGGGCTAACACGGAGCTGACTCCAAACGTTTCTCTAGTTTTACTTCAGATCCGCCACTATGGGTAAATGTTAAGAAGAGTGGGTCACACGCCTCTCTCTTTAAAGAGTAAAACACCACAGATACGGAAAGGGCCTGAGAGAGAAAGGGGATCAAGGTTTTGACAACCATTCGTGACAGACTTTCTCACACCCACTGCCAAGTGAAAACCAAGCGCTCGCGGAGCGCCGCGCAGGCTCTGGGGATTGGTAGTGGAACGCAAAGGGGTAGCTGGTGCGACCAGCTGCCCTAATCGCCACCCACACCTATGTCTGTGTCTAGTCACAGCGCACGCTATCCACCCACGCGCCGCCACTTTCAGCGAGCCCGGCAACCTCCAGCACTTATCGGCTCCCGCTCACCTGCCCAGCTCAGGCTGTAGCTGTCCTGGAAAGAGTCTGTGCGCACAGCGACGCGGATCTCCGTTAGCAAGCCCTGGGCCTGGGGTGGGGCCGGCGGTCAGCGCCGCGAGGTCAGACCTCCGCCCGCCTGGCCCACCCGGCCCCAGCCTGAGGCCGCAGCTGCAGAAAAGCCACCGCTGCCCGACTTCTGCAGAGGAATCATGGTGCTTGGGCGCGCTTCCTTTCTGGCCTCCCCGCTCTCTCGGAGCTGCCGGCGGATAACATTCCCACCTCCAGATGCCTTGCGCAGGTCAGAAGAGTCTGAAACCACCCGCTCTGCCCAGCGCCACGCTCAGACAACCGCAAGAGGGATCCCAGCCGCCCCGCCCCGCCCTTAGTCCGCTCTGCCCTTGGTTTCGCCCCCTTGCCGAGCTTCCACGGGTCCTGAGCGCCGGGCACCCAGCGCTCATTCTCTGCAGCCAAGAGGCGGCAAATGGCATAACCCTTCTGGCCTGAGATCAGGCTAAGCGGGTTATACGCCTGTTAAGCATCTGAGTGTTCCAAAACCATCGTTCATGAAAGGCATACGAGCTGCCAGCCGTTTGGAGCTTCACAATCCACTTTCCCTTGGGCGGGTGAGGAGTTGCTCCGGGCACCTGGTTTCTTCCTACACTGCAAGGGAGATCCGGAGGCAGGAGTTGAATAAATTAAGCCCTCTCACATCAGCTCTATGAAATAGGCATTATTGTACTGTCTGCAATCCTCTTTAACTTTCAAGGTACTCTCATACAGTCTTATGAGTTTAATTATATCCACATGCTTAAGACTACAAAATTTATTATCTCTAGCTTCCAACCATTTTCCGATCTTCATAATCATATATTCACAAGTACACTTGGCATCTCCAGTTAAATGTCAAATTATCATCTCAAACTTAACATACAAAGAAGTAAGTTTCTGATCATCCTTCACAAATACAGTCCTACTTAGTTTTCCCCATCTCAGTAAATGGTAGCTCCATCCTTCTAGCTGTTCAGACAAAATACGTGGGATCAGCACTGGCTCCTCTCTTTCTCCCACACTCGTCATCCAATTTGTAAGTAAATCCTCTTGATTTTACCTTCAAAATATATCCACAATCTGATCACTTCTCTCCATTTCCACATTACCACAGTAGATTAAGTCACCATTATTTCTTGTCTGGATTATTGTGATAGGTTACTAACTATACCACTTGCTTCCATCCTTCTTCTTCTCCAATCCTACACAGTTTATTTTCAAAGCAATCAGAGTTATCTTTTAAAAATCTAAATCAGATCATATCACTGCTCTGCTCAAAATGTTCCAATACAGTTTTGCTTCTGGCAATGATGGACTAGTTTATTTGTGGTCAATACTCTTACTGAGAAAAATTGGCAAAATTTAAAAAACAAACTGTTGCTTCAAAAGCAACAAGGATTTGGATGACTAAGATCCTGGAAAAAGGGGAGACCTAGAATGGCATCACTTTTCCTGTGAGGCATTTGATGATTCAAAAGCAGTGACTAAAAGGATGAGAATGTAAGCAGAGCTTCATCCATCTCGTGTGGCTGGAGAGACAAAAAAAATTTGGAGTTTAGAACCTATTAAGGAGGAGAGCTGATAAGTAGACTTTCAGGTGGGACCCTAAAAGGCTACCTACTAGGAGCATCAATAAAAGAGAAACAGACTGGCCCTTACAAGGACTGAGAACAGCTTCTATGTGCAATAGTAAATCACCTTTGGAGAAAAACAACATCATTCAGAGCCACACATTATCTGTACAATACTTCATATACAACGTCTGGCACTTAATTTTAAAAGGGGCACATAAAAAGAATCATTTTAAAAACTAAAAGAGAAAGACAGAAATAAACAGCAAACAGACGATTCAGATATTGAAGTTTAAAGACAGATTTTAAAATAATTCTGTTTAATATCTTTTTAAAAAAATTAAGTGACAAAACAGATCATTTCAGCAGATAACTGAGAACTCCAAAGAAGAATAAAAAGGAATTTGGGGAATTGGAGGGGAAAATCCACAAACTAAAACAATGACTTAATGGATGAAATTAATAACAGATTAGATACAACTTTAAAAAGAATTAGTGAATCTTATTAGTGAACTTAATAATTCAAAAGTATGCAAAATAAAACTTGGGAGATAAAAGGATATAGAGTTCAGAAAAGAGCATAAAACACAAGTGGTACGTGATAAAATGTTCCAACTAACATGTAATTGAACTATCAGAAGCAGAGAAGAGAATAAAAGTAAAGAAGCAATATTTGAAAAGATAATGGTTGGGAATTTTTCAAAACTAATTAAAGACAACAATTCACAGAATCGAGAAAAATTGTGAATATCAGCAGAATTTCAAGCAATAACCATACCTACGCAGATCATAGAAAACTACTGAGAGTTAAAGACAAAGAGAATAATTTTTTTTAATAGGCAGAAAAAGCAGATATATTACCTGCAAAAGAAAAATAAGATAAAGAGCTAAGTCACAAAAAAACAAAAAGGAACCCTAAAGACCATTAAATATCTTCAAAGTTCAAAGTGATAAGAGAAATTAGCTGTCATTCTGGATTATGTACTCAGTAAAAATATTCTTCAAATATTGAAATATTCAAATTGAAAGTAAAATATTTTTATATTTAATTTTTATATTTTATAACAAATAAATACTAAGATCATTTAAAGGAAATTTGAAAAGAAGCTCTTTAAAGCAGATAAAAAATAATGAAATCATAAAGATGTATGAAAGAATGAAGAAAAGTAAAGAGATTAATATATAGCTAGATTATCATAAGTAAATTTGAACCGTATAAAACAATAAAAGTAATGTCTTGTGGGATTTAAATGTATATATATAGTATTAAAATATATACAATAATAGCACAAAAAGAGGGAGAGACTAATGGAATTAAAGTGTGCTAAAGTTTGCATTGCATGGGAATTGATAAAAGTATTTGGCTTTAATAAATCAAGAATGAATATTAAAATCCCTAGAGTAACAACTAAAGTAATAGAAAATGAATAGTAACAAGTTAATAGAGTGAGGAAATAGAATAATAAAACATATTTAATCCAAATGAAGCAAAAAAAAAAAGAAAAAAGAAGATACAACAAGAGTAGACAAGTAGAAAACAAGTAGTAAGATAGTAAATTTAAGCAGACGAGCTGTTTGTTTTTTAAATCAATTAAACATAAATGAAATTTATATGCCCTCAATTAAAATACAAAACTTGTAGACAGGATTAAAAAATAATCTCAGCTATATGTTGCTTCTGAGAGACACCTTAAATAAAAAATTACAGAAAGATTGAAAGTAAAAGGATGAAAAGAGTTATGTCATGTAAATAGTACTAAATAGAAAATTGGTATATTTATTCAAATATTAGACAAAGTAGATTTTAAGGCAAAAAGCATTACTAGAAATAAAGAGGAACATTTTTTAATGATAAAAAGACCAATCCGTCAGTAAGTTATAGCAATTCTCAATTTGTATGGTCTTAAACATATAGCATTGAAATATATGAAGCAAAATGACAGAACTAAAAGGAGAAATAGAACAATTCATAATCATTATCAGAGATTTTAACACAATTCTCTGATTGATAAAACAAGTATACAAAATAATTATGTAGAAATGTTCTTAGCAATTTTGAATGACACAATGAACAAATGACATAATTGATGTATGTATAATACTACAGAATATGCAGCCTTTTGTTGTAAAGAGAATGTTTATTGATCATGTAACAGATCATAAAGTACGTTTCAACAACTTCAAAGGATTGAAGTTCTACAGAGTATATTCTGTGATCACAGTGGAATTAGGCAAGGAGTGAACTGTTACCTACCATTTTGATATACAACAACTACAACCACAACCAAAAGCTCTATAAAGTCACAATAGCTTGGAAATTAATTAATTTTTCATTTATGGTGATAAAAATCAAAAAGGACTAATTTGAGGTTGGAGGAGATTGACTGAAAAAGAGTGAAAGGGGACTTTCTGAAGTGACGGAATGTCCTATTTCTTCATAGGGCTGTGGCTCACATGGATGTGTGCATTCTCAAAAACTGATTAAAATGAGTGAATTTAAATTATGTCTCAATTTTTTAAAACTTTTTTTTATAGAAATTTTTATACCATAGGAAAAAACATGGACTCATAAATATTAAACAAAATTAATTCAAGCAATGTATTAAAAGATATATCATGACAGTGGATTTTATGCTAGGAAAGTAAGGAGATTTCACTACATGTTCAGATTAGAGGAGAAAAGTAATCCTATCAACTTAATAAATATGGGAAAACATTTTATAATATTCAATACCTATTCGTGATTAATTTTAAAAGTTTAGCAACCTAGAAACAAAAAAAGGAATTTCCTAAACTTAATAAAATAGAGCTCTCAAAAACTTACAAGAAGCAGTATCATTGAAGTCAGGGACACAACAATAATACATGCTACCACTACTCTTATTCAGTGTGCAGTAGAGAACATAAACAGTGCAATCAGACTAAAATGGTGCTAATATTGGAAAGGAAGAGTTAAAATGATCAAGAAAAAGGACAAAATTAATAAATGTAGACAATTCAAGTGCATTTCTAGAATATCCAAAAGAATCAACTGAAATAATATTAAAATTTAAAAACTGAAAGAAAGATGATTAGATAAAAATACATCAACAATTTTCCCATATAAAAACAACATGAGGCATACAAGATAATGGGAATATTATCCCATTTTCAATAGAATGAAAAATAAAACATGCAGAAACAACCCTAACAAAAAATTTACAGAGCTTATATTTTATTTGATAATTATGTAGAACATGATAATTCTAGTGGACACAAAGACAAATAAATGAAGATACATAGCACACTCTTAGATGAAGAGATTAGATTCTATTATTCTCTGTAAGTCAATCAATATATTTAATAACTGTTGGGTGAGGGGACTAAACAAAATGGATGCAGTCAGGCTCCCTCCCAACAAGCCGTGCAGTTTCCAGGCAGCCTTAGCAACAATGTCCCAGGTGGCCTTAGATACAGCGTCCTATGTAGCATTAGATATAGCATCCTATATAACCTGTAGATTGTGATTGATTATAGTACCTGGTCTTATTATGCACTTGGTTAGAAGAATAGCTCCACCTGTGCAGGCAGGGGAAGCTGGAACTGTGCCAGT